AATTTCAAAAAGGGCATTTAGAGGCTGAGGATTTGATTTTAAGGTTCAGGTTAGTGTTAGGGAATGCATGATGTCATGAGTGTCCTCACAATGATAGAGGCACAAGTGTGTGTGCATATCATCTGTGTGTCCTGCAGAAAGCCAGGTGATGACATGTGAGAAGTTCAGTGTGTGTGTGTGTGTGTGTGTGTTTGTGTGTTTGTGTGTGTTTCCGAGGGGGAATATGCTACCCAACCTCAGACTGCACAGAGATATTCATTACAGTGGTGACTGCTAATCCATATGTTTGTACTGCGAGCGGTTCCCTATCAGTCAATTGAGTTTCCCCTGCAATGTCCCTCTCTGCCTCTGAATGGAGGCTGTCACTGGACGGGGTGAAATATGAAGGGTGAATTTCAGCGCGTTTTGTCTGTCGATTTGCACCAGCTCGCTGAGACAGCCAAGGTCCTTCCAAATGTCAGCTCAGTACTGCAGTATGGATATGATTAGCTTACCCGCATCACATCCAAATCAATAGCAGCCAGTCCTTGTCCCAGAAATCCTGACATTAGAACTGAACCTGCATTTGTTCACTTTCTATACCGACAATGAGATATAGCAGAGTGATGATTCATTTTACACACACACATACTTCTTTACAAGATTTGTTGTTAAATCATTTTGTTTTTCAGAATGCTTTTGACTGATAGAAGACCTGTGGTATTCAGGAATTAAAGTTCAGTGTCAATACAACAGATTTCTGTCAATTCCATTTTAGAGTATAAATTCAGAGTAGATTTGAAGGGGAGAAAAATTAAGCTCCAAAAGTGTTTCAGACCATCCATTGTGTATTCTGCTTATCCTGTGAGTGTCTCTGCAAGTAACGAGTCAGTCCCAGTGGACTTTGAGTTCGAGGTGGGGTGCAATACCTACAGGTCACCTACGTACAAGTTAGATTCTCCAATTAACCTAACTCCAATCTGTATGTCAGAGAAGATGCAAACCCCACACAGGAGGGTCCACAGCTGTATTTCTGTTCTACCCACTCTACCACCGTGCCATTCTGTGTTTAAGAAATTTACTGGACATTTTCTGAACCCAGAAAACTCAACAGTGTTCAGATAATGATGTGACTCACCTCAAACTCCCATAACTTATGAGAAGCTATTGAATTAGGTGTAAAATCAAATGAAGCACAGTTGTGTGCTTGTTTCCAGCAAAGACATTTTACTCTCTACCAGAGCCAGACCTCTGAGACAGCCAGTCGTCCATTTCATCAGTGTGGTGAAAAAGGTCTTTTTGTAGATATCTCAGTGGAGAAGAGGACTGTGGCCAATTAAGCCCTGCCAACCACAAGGACTAAAAAGATTGTAGCAAAGGCCAGTGTGTCACTTTCTAACACACACAGTAAAGTAATGGCACAGTGTTCTGCACATACGGAGCCAGGTGGCTGAACCTGCTGTCCCGTCACCACAGACCAGAACTGGCTTTTAGACACATCTCCCTCCACAATGCAGAGCCCAGTCATGACAAATGCACCAAAAGCATAAATGATCACAGGCTGGTAAAGGACAACGTCGGCATTTTAATGCCCTTTTGATTCCTGCAGACACTCATGGATGCACATGCCTGATATGCTGGTGCTTGTTTTTTTTAAAGGATAGAGGAGCTGACTCAGAGTCTTCAGTTTTTAATTAGTCTGTGGTCAAAGCCTGACCTCTCTTCTGTTCCCTTCTTGCTAATCAGTGTGATCCTACAAGCCTCTTGCCCGCCTCACGGTGGATGTGGGAGGCAGTTCATTCCTCACAGTGTGCCCTCTCTCTCGCTCTGCCAGGTGAAGTGTGACCAGTATTGGCCATCACGAGGAACCGAGACCTACGGGATGATCCAGGTCACCATGCTGGACACCGTGGAGTTGGCTACTTACAGCGTTCGCACATTCGCCCTCTACAAGGTACAGTACTGCGTTCTCTTTGCGGTTACCCATATAGCATAGCATAGTCATGAATGGCGTATTCCCAGCATGTAATTGCGGTTCATCATTAATGGGTTCATATTTTAAAATGTAATTCCTTGTTTTTCTGAGGGCCGATAAAGGCTATTACCACTGGAATCTTTTTTTCACCGCTGTAATTGGTTTTTAACATCCAAGATTTGTCTCTTGCTCTCGACAAAGCCAATGAAAGATTTCATTTTTTCACTTTGATTCATAGACTTCAGTGCTGTGCTGATGTGACTGATACCTGGTCCTTTAATTTCTCCTCTTCCATTACTTGCTTATGATTTCAAAACATTCAAATTCTAAATTAAAGGAAGTCTCCAGCTGGAGCAGTTACTTGGTTTCAATCAGGAACGGTGAAAATGCCAAGGAACTGTTTTTTGCAGTTCAGCCCTGAAATTACACACGTTTATCTACACTTACACCCGCAGAATAATCACAGCCATGAAAGTAGATCACGTAAAGTGCTGCTATCAAAGTTATGAGCCAAATCCAGACCTTTGCTTAAAATAGCTACATTTCTGACAATTAAACTACTTGTTCTTTTCAAACTGTAACGATTCCCTTTCATCAGACAGAGCCACCTTTACCTGCTCAAAACATTTGTTCCTAGCATGACACGTTTCCTTTTAAACAGCAGCCAATTACATTTCACAATGTCACAGTGTCCTACCAAGCTCACACTCACATCTCGCTGCTTTACTGCCTGCACTCACTCTCCTGTAGAACGGCTCCAGTGAGAAGAGAGAGGTGAGACAGTTCCAGTTCATGGCCTGGCCAGATCACGGAGTACCAGAGTACCCGACACCCATCCTGGCCTTCCTACGGCGGGTTAAGTCCTGCAATCCTCCAGATGCAGGGCCCATGGTGGTCCACTGCAGGTGGGTACATATTGAAATGAATTGGTAATACTGAGTAAACAGACGTGAGACATGACCTGTTACATAAAGTGAAACATTCAATTATTTACCCTCCTCTATCTCCCTCGCTTTCTCTCCCCTCCAGTGCGGGCGTGGGCAGGACAGGCTGCTTCATCGTGATCGATGCCATGCTGGAGCGCATGAAGCACGAGAAGTCTGTAGACATCTACGGCCACGTGACGTGCATGCGTGCCCAGAGGAACTACATGGTCCAGACTGAGGACCAGTACATCTTCATCCACGAAGCCCTGCTGGAGGCAGCCACCTGCGGCAACACTGAGGTGCTGGCCCGCAACCTGTACGCACACATCCAGAAACTCACCCAGCCCCCGCCCGGCGAGACGGTCACTGCCATGGAGCTGGAGTTCAAGGTGACTGACGAGCACACACCTCGGTCTTGTATTACTCGAGGCTCTATTTGATTACTCATTCAGTCACCACTGAATGAGCTTCACTGGTCGTGTCCTTGACTCCTACAGGATGAAATGAAGCATTTAACTTAACAAAACACATTTTAGAACAGCCTGTTTTTTAAATTATAGTTTCCTGGGTAGTTCACAGGGGTGAGACGGTACAGTTAATAATTAAGAGAAAAAAAAATCATCTTTCCATTCCGCCTCTGTTTCTCCATTTTCCCTGATCTGAAAGCACCAGACTGGACTCTTTCTTTCATTGTCTTCAGTTGTCACTTTACAACAGTGCGGAGGCCGACCTTCAGTGTAGTGTCACTGCATGTCAGTGTCAGAAATAATGAATTCAGCAAAACAAGTCAATGCAGAAAAACTTGTATTGACACCGGTGCTGTAACGTCACAGCAGAAGCTGTGTACACACAGAAGAACACTTTTCAGGGACCTGAACACAAACACATCAACACACCTACACATGGAGAATTAGAATATGACTGGCACTTACACATACACACAGCTGCTGTTCAAGGTGACTCGAAGTCACACACACACACACACACACCTTCTGTCAATAGCCATCAACTGTGATGTTATTTCACACTTTCCTCCCAGTGCAGCATCAGCCCTCTTATGTCCATAATCCATTCTGTTTGAAGTGATAATAACATCTACACTTCTGCCAAAGATGGAGAATGGAAAGAGTGAGAGAACGATTGTGGCGTATACCGGGGCCACAGCCTCCGTGCCCACACACTCTGGCCGCAACACAAATTCTCCCGACGTACCATGACTGTCCATACTCGCTCCTGTTTTGTCCATCTGTGCTCTGTCCACTGCCAGCACCGAGCTTTTAACGCATGCAGTCCTCCAGGGAAGCTCTGGGACCCTTGGGAGACAAGTCGACTGCATGTCGTTACACCAGTAGATATTTAATTACTTGTAGACAACCACAAAAACAGAAGACAAAGGGGTTTCAGGAAATAACAAAGTAATTTATTCACAATTAAATTAACAAAACGACACAAAGAAAAACAATCTGTCGTGTGGGGAGGGAGGGAGTGAGTGTAGGCTGAGCTTTAAAAACAAAACAAAGAAAAGAAAAGAATAGTGGCAGAGCAGAGTTGTCAGGTAAGGAGGACTGAGGCTTTCCATTAATGCCCGTCCAGACTAAAACACAGCTGCTAAGTTTTAAAACCGAGGCCAGCAGCATTTCCAAACTTCTCAGTTTTAGTGGCTCTAAAGCTCCAGAGTAATGTGGACTCCAGGTGTATCTGCAGCAGTTTTCAACAATAACGTAGTATTATGGATGAAGCCAGACTGACCTGGTACTGACACCTGCTCTGACTTGTGTGTTTGCGGCACCGTGGACCTAGGTTTGTCCCAAAGCTGCTGATTAAGCCCAACCATGGTCTGCAGCCCTGGAGACGGGGAGCAGAGTCACACCTCTTCTTGACTCCGAGGCCTCCTCCTCGGCTGAATTTCTTATTTATCTTGACAGAAAAACCTTATGTCTGAATAAAGACGTTTCAGGCTTCTGTCTTTGTTTACTTCAGGTCACAGGTCACTAATTTTTTTCTCTCTCCATCTCTCTCTTCCTGTCTGTTTTTCCTCCCACGTTTTTTTTAATAAACAGAGACTGGCCAACTCCAAAGCCCACACGTCACGCTTCATCAGCGCCAACTTACCCTGCAACAAGTTCAAGAACCGCCTGGTCAACATTATGCCTTTTGAGTCTACCCGCGTCTGCCTGCAGCCCATCCGGGGTGTCGAGGGCTCCGACTACATCAACGCCAGCTGCATCGATGGCTACAGGTAAACTTAGAGATTTGAGCTGGATGCAATGACTCAGAGGCCTGGACCAACCTGAGGGCAAAACTATGAATAATACTAAGTCTGGATATCAAAAATCAAAATGTGGATATCAGAAACTGAACAATGACCTCGGTAGAACTATATCTAATTATTATTGTTATGAAGAGTTGTGGATATCTGAAATTTAACCACGATTTTTTGATATTTTATATTTAGTTAAACATAACTTAACTGTAGTGACAGATGTGGGGTTGGAATAAATATAAAAATTGCTTGCTTTAACAGCAAAGGCGTCATTTTCTGCTCCCACCTCCAAAGTCTCAAAAGTCAACTGGATGTGCGAGCAAGTGTTGAGCTGTCGTGAGCATGTAGGAAGGTCGAGTCGCTGCTCGTCATAGGAAATGTCTCAGGGGAAATGTTCTTTTGGGAGGAAGGTTTCTCACTCCCAGATACTCCTCTGTGTTCTCATGTCACATCCGTGCTTGTGTTTCTTTTGTGTGTGGGTTTTCGAGACTGATCAAATGCCAAAACATCCTTTAATTAAATCAGAGTCAGCACTTTTCTCAGTCGTTGTTTAATGTCATGTCTAATGTCACGAGCACAGACTCAACACAACAGAAATTGCATCAGTACCCTGATACTCTCCTGACTGCTCCGGATGTGACAGGTCTGTTCTGCGACAGAGTGAGAAATACTGTAGGTATTCACAGCGGACTAGATAAAGATGTATGGGAGGGGACTGAGGATGAGGCTGCAGTGGCTAGTATCAAGTTGCAAGAATTACTCCTTGCTCTGTTGATGTGGCTCTCATCCGCTGAGCCGCTACCGCTTTCACATGGAAGCTACTGCATGTCCTCGTGTGCTCGGCGAGTCCAAATTGCTTCCTAGAGGGAGGAAGATGAAAAAGCAGCTCTCTGTTTTATATCTATATAAGTACAGGCAGAGACAGACAGAGCCGACTCTTCTGCGGTTCGAGTGTACAGCGAGGAGATGGATTTAGCAGCCATGAAATGCCATTCAGTCCATACGGGGGCTTTGCTTCATACGGGGCTGTGACGGAAACAACACCTCCAAGCTCCCTCTCTTTCTACGGCCCTGTTGTTAAAGAGGAGGCTCTCCGCAGAGGCCGACCCTCTGTTGTTGCTGTGTAAATGCCATAATTGCAGCAGGAGGGAATGTAATGAACTGTGTTTTCTGAACTCCTCCCTCCTCTATGTTCTCTGCTTTTCTCTTTTTCCTTCCCTTTCCCTCTTTATTTTTACTCCCTTACATCTCTGTCTCTCTCCATTCTCCTCCCTAATCTGTCTTCTGTGCACTTCCTTCCTCACTCTCTCTCCCGCCACCCTCTTCTCCCACTCACCATCTTAATTTTCTATCCCAACATCATGGCAGAGACAGACATATCCGGGTGGGGACCTGTTGTGTGCACCGGCGGCACTGTGTAATTAAGCCGCTTTTAAAGCCCAGGCATAAATAAAAACTAAAAAGGAGCCTCCAGTGCCCTTCACCCCAGCGCCTTCAAGAAAAGCCAATAATATGCTAAGCTAATGAGAGGCGAACCATTGATTCCAGCTATGCTATCAGGGGCGCGAGCCTGGATATGCTCTGATGCAGGCTGGAGTTTTAGCATTGTAATGAGGTTGAAATGAAACACTATGTCCTCCAGCACTACAGTCATGTGGGATGATGCAGCGAGTGCTTTGTGCTGTTTGGCAGCGCGCTCGTTGGGACAATGTGTGCAGAGAAGTCAGTATTGTGTGATACGGTTAGAATTGTTTTTGTTTTGGCTAGGGGCTGTTTTTGGGGGAGGTTAGAGGGGTCCACCCTATCAATTTGAAATTAAGTATTCATCCCCTGCTTAGCATTGCTCTCCTTCTCTTCTCTGCCTGACTCCTCTGTTATTTAATTCCCCTCTTCTACATCCTCACCCCCTTCCTTTTCCTCTTTTTTCCATCCTTTCTCGGCTTCTCTCCTCTTTTTTTCCCTCTCCTCTTCCTCCTCAGCAGTCAGCCCTGCTTTGCAACTCCGATGACCAGCTGAGAGAGCAGTGCTCACTCTTTTCATCTCCTCACATTTTCCTCCTTACATCTTCTCTTTGTACTTAGCACATCTTCACTCTTTGCATTGCTCCCCCCCCCACTCGTTTTCATCTTTTTAATTTGATTCCTCTCTCTGTTGCCTTCCTCTCTTCCTATACCATCTCTTCTCCTCTCCACCAATCTGTTGTTTCTTTATTTGTGCGAGCGAGGCCCTGAGCATATTCTAATCTCCCGGTTCCACATTAGTGCTTTGCCTGCAGCACCTTCATTAGTTGTTCAGCCGTGGCTCAGTGTGTGACTGAGTGTGTGCGTTTGTAGTAGCGTGTCTGAATATACATGGCGAAACGGCTGCCTGCGTTAAATGCGTTCACCTGGATGCAGCTTACATGTGCTACAAACATGTGAGTGTGTGCATGCACGACCATGCATGCATTCATGTGGGATTACTCAGCTCCCTCTCTCGTTGTTGATCGGTGCGCTGCTGCCACCTGCTGTTTGACAAAAGAACTGCTCTGCTGGACCAAAGTCACGTAGGACACAAGCACAGCTCGGGCACCTCGACGGATGAGCTCATCTCTAGTTTTGTGAGCATATCAAGGGCTCGCTCTCTCATTCTGGGTTGTGTTACAGAGAGGAAGGAGGAAGAAGGAGAGGATCTATACGGGCTTAAATAGCTCGATGATGAGCATAGCTGCCAGGGATTATTTGCTATCTTCATTAAATGTGTAGGAATTTGTCATCCGCATTACGGCAGAGACGATTTGACAGACAGTACAAGGACAACAGAACATTTCTTTATCTTCGTTTTGCAGCTGAATGATTTTAACAATGTGCCTTTTATGGATTTTCAATCAGATTTTCCACAAAATCAGTCAGTCTGTTGAATGTGCCTCATATATAAATATCCCCCAGATGGTATATGTTGCTTTCATAGAACAAACGTAGAGTAAGAGAGAAAGCTCTGCAGCCTCTGGTTTTAATAGATCTGAGTTAGAATGTGTCTGATTGTTTAATAATCAGTTTACTTGCACGTCTTATATTCTCTGTATGTCTGTTATTACATTGTGGGGTTGTAGTGATCGTTAAATCCTTTGCTGTGCATTTCTTCGTGGTGTCTAATGTTTCAAATCTCTGCCTCCTCTGTGTGAATTTGCGTCCTCAGACAGCAGAAGGCTTACCTGGCCACCCAGGGCCCACTGGCCGAGACCACCGAGGACTTCTGGAGGATGCTGTGGGAGCACAACTCCACCATCGTCGTCATGCTCACCAAGCTACGAGAGATGGGGCGGGTACGTACACACACACACACACACACACACACACACACACTGACTGTGGTTAACATGTATAAGGCCACTGGATCATTTCAATAGAAGATAACAGTCTTTATGTGCTGAGTTGGTTCAGCTAAGTTACTGCATCACACCGCTCAAATTCATTCCAACAGTAACTTCAATTAAACAGTTGCTTCCTTATCAGCATGGAAGGAATGTATCTGGTCTGAAACATCCTCCTGTGTTAATAATATTTTGAATTCCAAGGATACAGATAATTTTCACTGAATTACCTTTTATTCAAAATTTGGTAACAATGGAGGAGGGATATACAACAGGCAGAAACTACTGGTGGGCCAGACGTGTACCCGGGATATTCTTCTGGTTTCCCTTTGATTCCACCTCTGCTGGATGTCGTACCCTCGCTCTGACTCTCCTGTGGCGTCTTGCCTGACTCTGCTCCGTCAACTGTCCAACAAAGGCTATGATACCAAAAGAAAACAAACAAAGAGGTGCTAGTCAACAGATGATTTTACCTTTGGGCTGTTTCACGAGTAAACAGCTGCTGGCTCCCAGCTTCATATTTTAGGAGCAGATATGAGAAGTGGTATCAATCATCTCAGAGAGAAAGCAAAAAAAAATCCATCCGCAGCCCTCGACTGCCTTCTACAGTTCTTATCACCCTCTCATCCATAATCAGAGTTTATGAAAAAACATCATCACTTAAGAACCAAAACATTTTCCCACTGAACATGAATCAGACAATATTTCACAGCCGCAGATGATTGGATGTGGATTTCCATTTTGTAAGCAGAGTCCTTCACATGACTAATAACATACGGTAACCTTCTCTAATAATACCCAGGCGGTCATTATGTAAAGGTCTTCAAATGGAAGCGCTCAATGTGTGGTTTTTTTTTTTTTCTCCTCCATTTCATTTGTAGGAGAAGTGTCA